TCTCTCTGTGCATAAGCAGCCCTTCCTTCTCCCATGATTGTTCTCTCCAGGGCGTGTGTCTACTTGAGGTAAATGTTTAACTCACTTGCCTGTACTTTGTTTGGCTGGACAGTTTCCTTTTTTTAACATAATTATTTCACTAATCAAAAAGAGTGGTCTATGGTTCTTACTTGCCTTGTGTCTCCTTGGGAGAGACAAGCCAGTGGTTGGCCAAGATCCATTTGAGTGATCTTTTACCCTGGGTCTGTTAGGTGCATAGGGCTGTGTATCAGGTTCTTTTTTATTTTCACTTCTACTATCTTTTTTCTTATGTAATTTTATATGTACTTCCCCCCAAAAAGAAAACTTCTCTCCCGTTGAGTTGGATCTGACTCGTGGTGACCCCTCCTTGGGTTTCTGAGGTGGTATCACTACATAAGTAGATTGCCCAATCTTCCTTCCAAGAAGTGGCAGGTAGGTTTGAACTGCCGACCTTCTGGTTGACAGTCAGATGCCTTAGGCACTACGTCACCAGAGCTCCCATAAGTTATTTATAAATTACAAACGTGTGTGTGTGTGTATACGTATGTATGTAATTAATTTTATTCCTTTCACTGAAATTAGTAGATGATTACTCTCTGGTTAGTGGTTTACCCTCCCTTCACTGCCTACCTCTGGTAACCGTCAAAGAATATTTCTCTTTTTGTGAAGCCTCTTTCTTTGCACAATAGCAGTCTTAAAACAATATGTGTCCTTTTGTGAGTAGCTAATTTCATTCAGCATAATGGCCTTTCAGTTCATCCATGTTATGTTGTGCAGATTTGTCATTGTTTTTTAATGTTGCATAATATTCCATTGTATGCATGTACCATAGTTTGATGATCCATTCCTCTGTTGATGAGCATTTAGGTTATTTCTATCTTTTTGCTATTGTGAATAGTGCTGTGATGAACATAGGTGTACATATAACTGTTCATGTCACAGGTCTTTCTTCTCACACATCTAGGATATATACCTGGTAGTGAGATTGCTGGATCCTATGGTGTTTCTGTATCCAGCTTTTTAAGGAAGAGCCATTCTGTTTTTCTCAGAGGTTGCTCAATTTTACAGTCCCACCAGAAGTGTATGGGGCTTCCAGTCTTTCCAAACCTTCACCAGCATTTGTTGTTTTCTGTCTTGTTGAACTTTGTTATTAGTGCTGGTGTGACATGATCTCTCATTGTTTTGATTTACGTCCCTCTGATGGCTAAAGATTGCAAGCATTTCTTCATGTGCGCGTTAGCTGCCTGAATATCTTCTTTGGTGAAGTGTCTATGTCCTCTGTCCATTTTTTTAAATTTGATGATTTGTTTTTTTGTTATTAATGTGTTGAAGTTTTCTATCAATTTTAGAGATTAGCCCCTTGTCTAATATGTTGTTGCCAAAAATTTTCCCTAGTCTGTCAGTTCTCTTCTTACTCTTTTGGTGAAATCTTTTGATGAGTGTGTCTAATTTTTAGGGGGTCCCAGTCATCTATTTTGTCTTTTGATGTTTGTCCATTTTTAGTTAATGTTCGATAATATAGTTATGTCTGAATTAGGGTTCCTAAGTTTGTCCCCGTTTTTTCTTTGCTCATCTTTATGGTTTTAGGTTTATGTTCAGGTCTAGGTTCTCAGTTCTGTTCTGTTGTTCTGTGTTTTTGTACTTGTCCAGGTTGTTTTAACTACTGTGGTTGTGGTAGTAGGTTTTGAGATCAGGGAGTGTGACGTCTCCTACTTTGTTTTTCTTCTTTAATAGTGGTTTATTTATCTGGGATCTCCTTCCTTTCCATATAAAGTTGGTGATTAGTTTTTCCATCTCTTTAAAGAAAGATGATGGAATCTGGATTGGAATTGCATTATATCAGTGATCACTTTGAGTAGTATTGACATTTTTACTACGTTTTAACGTAGTAAATCTTACCCGTGAGCACGGTACAGTCTTCCATTTATGTAGGTCTCTTTTGGTTTCTTATAATAGTGTTTTTTTTTGTATGGATCTTTTGTGTCTCTAGAGGGCTCTGGTGGTACAGTACCTAAGGCATTTGACTGCTAACCAGAACGTTGGAGTTTCAAACCCACCACTCTGCACAAGGAAGACGGGGGAATCTACTTCCATAAAGATTTACCACCTTCAAAACCCAATGGGGGTTGCTGTGAGTTGGGATCGACTCAGTGGCAGTGGATTTGTGTCTCTGGTTGGTTTTATTCCTAAGTACTTCATCTTTGGGTGGTTATTATAAATAGTGTTACTTTCCTATTTCCTTTTCAGAGTTCTCTTCATTAGTGTAAAGGAATTTGACTGATTTTTTTGTGTTGACCTTGTACCCTGCCACTTTGCTAAAATTTTCAATTGGTTCTAGTAATTTGCTTACTGAGTCTTTGGGATTTTCTATTTATAAGAACATAGTATCTGTGAATAGAGGTAGTTTAACTTCTTTTCTGCCAATTTGGATGCCTTTTATTTCCTTTTGTTGCCTTGCTCTGGAAAGGACTTTCAATACATCGAATAGGAGTGGTGATAAAGGACATCCCTGCCTGTGTACCAGGTTCTTTGAGACTTGATATTTATTTTCCCTCCTAATGTTTTCTGTTCTCTTTCCTCAGCAAGCATAGTTTGGGAATAGTGATAATAATAGTGGTAGTAATGACTTTTTTTTGTTGTTGTATGTTATTGAGAAGTATTCTCAGTCTCCCATCAGTATAAAACACCAAGGGGAAAACTTGTTAACTAGTTGGACTATAAACCCTTATATAATGTAAACTCTTGGCTACCTGTAAAGTTTGAAAAATGAAGAACACAGGATTGATGCAAATGGTACATTCCATTAACCTATTAGGGGTTCATAATCTGGGATTCATGGACCCTTGAAATTTCCTGACTATAATTCAGAGATTTGTGAAGTTGGATGGGAAAAACATTACGTTTTTATTTTTACAAACCTCTAACTGAAATTGAACATTTCCTTCCATTATGATTGTGTTCAGCCATTAGTCTGAAAAGGGGACCATATGTTTCACCAGACTGTTAATGGTCCATAGCACAAAAAAAAGGGTAAGAACCTTATAACTAGTTCAAAACTCCAGAACCAGTTTCTGTTGCATCATTTAAAAAGACACTTATTAAGAGATTTATCTTGTTCTGAATAAAAATTTAACAAAAGGAAGTTGACCATTTGAGAATTAAATTAGTTGGTCAGTCAGCCATTTGACTCTAGGTATTAAAGTATTATAATCTCTGAGTCTTGATTTTCTCTTTCTATAAACTCAGAGGGAGGGTCAAATGTTAAAAATTCTCCTAACCTAATGCCTGCCACATGGTAAATATTCAACAAGTGGTAACTGCCCTCATTGTTAGGAACAGCTTATCTGTCTGATCACAGTCAATCCACTCTACCTTCTTATTAACCAAACCAAACCTCCTTATTAGGCTTATTCTAATTAAACCAGCCATTCCTGTTTTCATTAATTGCTCAGCATTTAACCTGGAGATCTTATCCACAGTTGGGTATATCTGCCGTCTTTAAAGTACTTTATCTTTTTTCCCCAGGCCAAATTACAAATTTTATTTGACCTTTATTTTGAGATTACCATACTTTAATGCCTATAATCAAAATGGCTGTTTGACCAACTAATTTGATTCCCAAACAGTTAAATTCCTTTGTTAAATGTTTTTCCAGAATAGAATCTTGAGAATTGTCTTTTAAAATGGTGCATTTATAAAGAGCAGTTATAATGCTGATGAAATATCACTGTCCTTTGGGAGGTCAAAAACAAACTGTTATATACTTAAAACTAGTGTTATACGCCGAAGACTTTGAGTGAAAATAAAATTTCTCATAAAATAAGTTGTTTCTCTAAAACAGCTACTGTCCTTATTTGTCAGAAGTCAGGTATTTGTTTCTTGAGGACAACCTCCCTATCACAATTACCCAAAGAAAACAGGCTTATTCAAGCCAAAGAGTGAGGTCTTCCAGCCACCTGCAGGCAGAGAGCAATGGAATGTATAGTAAGTCATCTGGCACTTGGCCACTTGCTGTCATATTGGGTTTGTGTTCACATGGGCCCTGCCCAACGTAATGTAACTTTGTTCCCTGTTGCTCTGAAGATGGCTGTGCAGTCTGTATCCCTGCCAGGGCTGCACTGGTGTGCAACTCCAGGGTCCAAGGTTATCATTTCTTAGTTCATTCTCACTGCCTGATACTTGCCATCAGGCTTAGATCAAGAGGGCTTCTAGTCTTTTAGCCTCACACTGCTAGAAGTAGCCTCCCTACCCTGCCCCGTTATCATGTAGTGTTATTTTTTCTTATGTTTAGAACTGTATTTTATACTGCAGTCAGTATGTAGGGTTTGCTCAGAATTTGAGGTTTAAATTACCCGTAATAGGAATAGATTCATAGAGGAGGAAACTAGTCATCAATAGAGGTGAGTAATCCTAATGATTAGAAACACATGTTTCAGTTGATCTTGGGAACACGGGTCTGATCATGGGAACTAGGATGTAGTCTCTTGGGAGGCAGAACAGGAGTGTGATGCTCAGTTTGTAATAGTGTGAACTATGCAAACAAAGATTGTTAACAGGGTAGAGATGGTCTGTATGGAACTTTAACCACCATTTTGCAAGCGGGAGCCATTTGTGATGTATTCTATAGGGGAACAAGAGTACTTCATGAGATTTTTCTAAATCCTTTTTCTATGGTTTTATCTTCACTAAGCAACTTAATTTTTTCTTTTAAATAGCTTTTTTTTTTTTTTGACTAGGCAGTATATTCACATGGTACAAAAATCCAGTAGAGATGTACAAAAGGATCTATGGTGAAAGTCTTTTTTTTTTCTCCCCCCCGGCCCCCCCCTCCCCCCCCCCCCCCCCCCCCGAAGGTTACCAGTTATACCTGTTCTTTACGTATCCTTTCACCAATTATACTTACTCTTTATGTATCCTTTGCTGCAAAAAGGGCATGGGGGCATCACGCCTGACCTTGTGTAACCTCACTAGGGGGAAAGAGAATCCAGGAGAACATCAACAGCCTAAGGCTGATTCTTGTGAGGCAGAGGTCAGACACGCTCTTTACCCTCCAACCTTTTCACCAGTTCTGACACCAACCATCCCTCCCTTGGCACATAATTTTTCTACTGGGTTCAAAATTTTTGCAGTAGCCACACACAACTCACAGACGATACTCATGATTATGGGGTTTATTAGGGAAGTAACAGGTTACAATTCAGGATCAGAAACAAGTCAAGATACAGTTCTTCAATCAGGACAGCTATATCTCAGCCATGCCACAGGCACGCTTCTCTCTGGCCTTGGCCTCTCAGCCCTCTGGCCTCTTGGCCTCTGCCCTACTTGGGCCAGTGTTGCAAAGTTCTTTTAGCTTTGTTGATAGGCACTCAAAGAGGCACCCCACTCTGCTAGCAAGCCTTCTGCCCGAAGGCAGTCAGCTTCCTCGCTCTGTGGGCCAGAAAGCCCACCATTCCGTCTTACGCTGGACTCTTGGTTCTGCTGCTTTTGTTGCCACTGTCTCTCTGCCATCTCAGCACAGGGATCTCAGGTCCAAGGAAGTGCTCTACTCCTAGGTCTTCTTTGTTGATGGTAGTGAGATGCCCCTTTTTGCCCTTGTGATGGCTCATTTTAAGCCTAGCAGAATGGTAAACCTGACCAGTCATCATGTCAGGGTTCTGGACACCTTATTTGCATATTCCCACTCCCTCAATGGTGTTATTACCTTGTTTACATTTTTTGCAAGCTATCCAATCCCCTTGGTGGGCCATAAGCACCTCACATTTGCATGGTCTGATCTAATCATCTGGTGGGAGTCACAAAGACCATAGCTAGAAGAGCCATATTAAGTAATGCACTGCACAGTATTTGCATTTGGCTACTTTTTAATGAGTCACTTGGCTGTCTGAGCATTCTGCTACCAGAAGGTGGGTGGTTTCCTGCATAGTGAATATGAACGTTTTAGGCATGGAAGAGGGACATAGCCCTCTTAAGTAAATGATGTTCTGGTTTATATATCTAGCTCACGTGGCTTGACTAAGCGATTCACATCCTGAGATGCTAATCAGCTTTTGAATCTGCTATATTGTGATTTTTTTTTTGCTAAGTTAAAAACCAGTCTGCCATTTACCATAGGATGCTTTGCTGGCAACTAGGTTATATTGGTGGTGGTATATTTTTGGCTGTTTCTAACTGCAGTGCATTTCTTTTTTGGTAATTAACTTTGTGATAAAGAAGTATAATTTGTCCTTTTAGTTAATTAGAAGTATTATTACTTATATTGGGAAAGTTAGTCAGTGTATTTACTATGTGGACACTGAATCTTTGGCCCCTAATTAAAATGGTGAATATTAACAAGGAAAAAGGGAAGTCTGCTAAGCGCTTTGTTGGTGACCTTCTGTTGGGGTCATGCTCAATAATGCATAGAGTCAGAATTATTCAAAGTCTCAGGCTGAGGTTTAATTTGAAGCACTTAGATATTTTAACAGGAAGCTCTCAATTGTCAGTAAAAGATACCATTTTTAAAAACCATTTTAATTCTTATTTAATTGATTTATCTCCTTTCTTAGGTTTGAAGGAGAAGATAGTGAGGAGCTTTGAAGTTTCCCCAGATGGATCTTTCTTGCTTATAAATGGCATTGCTGGATATTTTCATTTGCTATCAATGAAGGTGAACCATTATTAATTGTTGGTTTTGTCTACCTCGGAAGGGGTGGCACAGGTGAACTTTAGGAGAAGTTGTGGGCAATTGGAATGATCTTCTGAATATAGGAAAAAAAAAATCTTAGATGCTGGAAAATAGAGAACTAGATTGATTTTTTCTATAACAGTGTGAATTCTTCCATATACTTCCTAACAATTTGGTAAGCAATACTTATCATTCTTTTAGACTAAAGAACTGATCGGTAGCATGAAAATTAATGGAAGGGTTGCCGCATCCACGTTCTCTTCAGATAGTAAGAAAATATATGCCTCTTCAGGTAAGTTAACTTAATAACATGAAAGACCCTTTGGGTGTGTTTACAGTCCAAATTCAACCAAAAACTATTTGATTTTAGACTTCCTTATTTTGGTAAGGAAATCAGTTCTATTTTTAAAATTCATTTTTCATTGCCATTTGACTTCTTTATTTAATAGTAATTGTTGTTTTGTGCCGTTGAGTCGTCTCTGACTCATAGTGACCTTATGTATAACAGGATGAAACACTGCCCGGTCCTGTGCCAGCCTCACTGTCTCTACTATATAACCTCAGCCCGTAGCTGCAGCTGTCATGTCAGTCCATTTTGTTGAGGGCCTTCCCTGCTTTTGTTGACCCTCCACTTTACCAAGCATGACTTCCTTCTCCGGAAAATGGTCCCTTTAATAGTAGTAGTGAGGTGCTAACAATGTTAATATGGACTATTAGCGTGTGTGGGGAAAAATGAGAAGAAAATGTTTGTTTTTAAAGATGATTCATTTTAAGACCTTCTTTCCTATTGAAAATTACTTACAATTATCACTCCTTTACTTGTACCAGTACCCTTAGATAGTATTTTGAATTTTCATTACTGACTGAAAACAATTCCGATCTGTCCTCTCTCACATTTCTGTGGCACTGTTGTCCACATCTTTATCATCCCAGGCCCTCTCTTGCCTTACACTCTTTGCTCTTACACCTTTCTTGCTGTCCCTTGAGACAGTTGCATAATCTCAGTATAGCTCATGCTCTTTGAAGTGGGAACCATCACAGTGGTTCTGTTTATGAGAAGATTTCTGCAATCTATGCAGGGCTTTTTTACATAATTATATTTCACTTTAGCCAGGAGTTTTGGTAATATGAAACAAATTTTTTTAATAAAAAGCTTACAATTCTTTTTTGAAGTATTAATTTTTATTAGTATTTGTGTTAGAATCAAGCAAGTTTGAGTCATTTACATTTGTAGTTTTTAAAATCAAATAATACAAGATCAGTAGCATTTATGGTCCCTGGTAGTGTAGTGCCTAAGGCATTTGACTGCTAACCAGAAGGCTAGCATTTCAAACCCACCAGTCACTCCTTGGAAGGAAGACTGGGCAGTCTACTTCCGTAGGGATACTGTCTGGGAAACCCAAGGAGGGGTCGCTGTGAGTCGGGACTGACTTGGCGGCAGTGAGTTTGGTTTTATATTATACTAGGGCTTGTGAGAGGTAAGGAATAAATAATGGCTCTTAGTAACATTCCTGATGACATGGATCCTAGGGTCAGCAGAGTTACTGCAGTATTCTATGGTCATTACAGACTATGGAGAAGAATCATAATCATAATTGTAACAGCTAATATGGAGTATTTACTGTATGCTTCATTTTCTTTACATGGATCAGCTTTTGAATTCTTAAAACAATTCTCTAAGGCACAAGTACTTGAGTTACTTCCCCAGGCCAAGTGTGCTGAAAGGAGTTAGGTGGGGTAGAAGCTAGGCAATTAAAGTCTTTTTTTTTTTTTTACATTTTGAAGTAATAAAATTTTGGATGTATTGCTAGTTGCCAGCAAAGCATCCTATGGTAAATGGCATATATATTATTACAGTTAATTTCACCTTTTTTTTGAAAAACTTTTTGTGATTTGGGTGAAAGTTTATAGAGCAATATCATTTTCCATTCAATCCATTCAGTAGTTCATACACATTTTGTTTTGTGATATTGATTGTAATCCCCATAATGTAACAGCTCTCTTCCTACTTCCTGCTTGTGATTATCTTCTCCCTGTGTCCTTCTTTCTTATGTATTCCTGCCTTCTGAGCTTTCTATCTACACAAATACTGCCCTTGTGATCTCTCATGGGTACACTTCCCTGGTGTAATGGTTCATCTCATAGGCTTGTCTATTATTTGGCTGAAGGTTAAGCCACAGGAGTGAGTTCGGTTCCAGGCCCAAAGTGTGACTAGGGGCCATAGTCTCAAGAGTTTCACTAGTTCCTATCAGACAGGTAAGGCTGGTTTTTTTTTATGCTTTTGAGTTTTGTTCCACATTTTTCTTCCACTATATCCAGAATCTCCAGTTCTGATCAGTGAATGGTTGGCAGTGGTAACCATGCACCATTTAGTTCCTGGTCTCAGGGTCCTATAGGCTGAGGTTTGCATGGTCCACTAGTGCCTTGGACTGACTGTTTCCTTGCATCTTTGACTTGCTTTGTAGCTCTGGGTGAGGAGAAACTAATCGTTGCGTCTTAGATGGTCACTTGCAAGCTTTTAAGACCCATTCGCTACTCACCAAAGTAGGATGTGGAACATTGTTTGTGTGTTGTCTGTACCGCTTCTTCACCTCTCTGTGTCTTCCTTTTCCTTAGTGATAATGTGTTGGTCTTTACCCATATCAGTATGTGTCTGTCACCTAGCTAGCAGTTTTCCCTCCGCTCCCCTCCTAACCCTGGTAATCAACAAAGAAAGTTTCCTTCTGTATGTAAACCTTTCCTTGACTCTTTATAATCGTGGACTCATAAAATATTTTTCCTTCAGTGATAGACTTACTCACTCAGCATAGTGTCCCCCAGGTTCATCCATGTTATGAGGTGTTTGACAGATTCTTCATTATTCTTTAATGCTGCATAATATCCCATTGTGTGTGTGTCCCATAGTTTGGTTGTCCATCCATCCATTGATGGGGCGTAGGTGGTTTCCATCTCCTTGCTGTTGTGAATAGTGCTGTTATGGACATAGATGTACGTATATCTATTGGTCTCCCGGCTCTCACATCTTTGGGATATATACCTAGTAGTGGCATTGCTGGATCAAATGGTATTTGTATTTCCAGCTTTTTAAGGAAGTGCCACACTATTTTCCATAGTGATTATACCATTTTACAGTCCCACCAGCAGTATATGAGAGTTCCAATCTCTCCATACTCTTGCCAGTGTTTGCTGTTTTCTGTCTTGTTGAACTTGGCTGTTATTGCTGGGGTGAGATGATAATCTCATTGTTGTTTTTGATTTGCATCTCTCTAATGGGTAATGGTTGTGAGTGTTTCTTCATGTGTTTGGTGGCTGCCTGATTATTTTTGGTGAAGTGTCTGTTATGTCGTCTGCCCATTTTTCAATTGGATTGTTTGTCTTTTTGATGATGAAGTGTTGAAGTTGTGTGTGAATTTTAAAGATAAATCCCTAGTCAGATATATCATTGCCAAATATTTTTTCCAGTCTGTAGATTCTTCTTTAACTCTTCTGGAGCAGCCTTTTGATCTGCATTAGAATGTAATTATTAGAAGGTCCCAGTCATCTGGTTTATCTTCTGCTGTTTGTACATATATATTTTTTAAAATTTTTATTGTGATTTGGGTGAAAGTTTACAGAGCAAATTCATTTTCCATTCCGCAGCACACATATACTTTGTCTCATGACTTTGACTACAATTTCCCACAGTGCAGCAGGTCCCTTCTCACTTCCTCCCCATACTTACCTCTTCCCTGTGTCCTTCTCTCTTTTGTACTCCAGCTGCCTAAGCTGTCTCCCTGTGCATACACAGCCTTTCTGTTCTCCCATGATTGATCTCTCCGAGGAGTGTATCTACCTAATGTAAATGTTCAGCTCATTTGCCTGTCTTTTGTTTGGCTGGAAGCCACAGGAGTGGGTTCAGTTCCAGACCTGAAGGGCAGCTAGAGACCATAGTCTCAGTGGTTCCATCAGGCTCTAGTAAATCAGCGAAACTGGTCCTTTTTTTTAAAAAAAAAAATGATGTTGCATTTGTTCCACATTGTTCTCCCATTCTGTCCCCTTCTAAGTGGTTGACAGGCACCATCTAATTCTTCTGGACTCATAGTCATATAGGCTAAGGATCATATGGTATACCAGTCACTTGGACTAATTGTTTCCATGCATCTTTGGTTTTCTTTGTTCTTCTTTGCTCTGGATGAGGAGAGACCCATCATTGCATGTAGATGGCCACTTGCTTGATGTTCTCTGTGACCTTGGTCCTGAGGCCATAGGTCCAACTACTTGCTTCCTCTGGGTAGCTAGCTGGCTGTGGCCAAGAAGTGACTACAACCATGTCCCTTTACAAATACTGTCGTAGAAATGTTGTCTGGCAACCCTATACATGGTCATGGGCATACTTCCCCTGCATAGACATACCTAATAGTTCAGCCTGTCTGTCCATTTGTCCACCCATAGATCAATGTTTGCCTTCACTGGCAATGCAGTACTCTGTGTACAAAAGGGTTCATTTTTGTTGTTTGTACCTTCCATGTATCTCTCTATAGCTTTCTCTTCCTCACTTGTTGGTGCATTTTTTGGTTATATTAGATAGGCTGTGTATTCCATAAATTAGTGCCCCTAAGTTTGTTCTTTTTTTCTTTGATGAACTTTAGTTTTAAGTTTTACATTTAGGTCTTTGATCCATCTTATGTTCATTTTTGTGTATGGTGTGATATATGGATCTTGTGTCAATTTCTGCAAATGGATATCATTTTACCAGCACCACTTGCTAAAGAGACTCTTCTTCCCCACTTAATGAGTGTTAGCCCTTTGTCAAAGATCAGCTGGCCATAGGCAGATGGATCTATTTCTCGATTCTCAATTCTATCAACTGATCTGTGTGTCTGCCATTGTACCAATACCAGGTTGTTTTAACTACCATAGCTATATAATATGTTTTGAGATAGGTGAGTGTGAAACCTCCTACTTTGTTCTTCTTCAGTAGTGCTTTGATTATCCAGGGTCTCTTTCCTTTCCATATAAAATTAGTAATTGGTCTTTCCATGTGCTTAAAGAATGTTGATGGAATCTGGACCGAGATTGTATTGAATCTATAGATGCTTTGAGTAATACTGACATTTTCACAATGTTCAGTCTTCTTGTCCACAAGCATGATACATTCTTTCATTTATGTAGGTCTTTTATAGTTCCTTGTAGTGTTTTGTAGTTTTCTTTGTATAGGTCTTTTGTGTTCTAGTAAGATTTGTTCCTAAGTATTTGATCTTTCTGGTAGCTACTGTAAATGTTACTACTTTCCTTTTTCAGAGGTCTCTTTGTTGAGGTAGAGGATTTTTGTATGTTGATTTTAGTGTAGTGAATTGCTTAATATGGCCTTCTAGCCATTGTCCTCCATTTTGTCTTGTATTGTAAATTCTAGTCTCTATGCCTGTTTAAGGAGCTCTGGTGGCGTAGTGCCTAAGACATTTGACTGCTAACCAGAAAACTGGCAGTTCAAACCCACTAGCCACCAGCTAGGTGTAGGGTGCCTGGTCCCAGAAAAAATTCCTGCCAGCCCAAAAGGCAGCTTGTAGCAGAGTGGCTGATATTGGAACTAGTTCCTTTCTATTCAGAAGGCAAACTGGGTGCCTGATCCCAGACAAGTTCCTCCTGGCCCAGATGGTGTCTGGGGGCAAGGCGACTGGACCAAAAAATTTCCTGCCTGTTGAAAAGACAACTGGGAGCAAGGTACCTGTTTCCAGGGAGAGTTCCTGCCATCCCCAAAAGCAGCTATGGTCAGAGCATCTGGTCCCAAAGTTTCTGCTGTCTTAAAAGGCAGTTGGGCACCAAGCCCCACTTGCAGAAGAGGTACCTGCTGTCCCAGAAGGCAGTTGAGTATCGAGTACCTGGTCTCAGAAAAAGTTCCTACTAGCCCAAAAGGTGATTGGAAGCAGGGCACCTAGTTCTGGGACCAGTTCTTACCAACCAGAAGACAGCTGATGGCAGGGTACCCAGTCTGGGATGGAATTCCTACCAAGTCCAGAAGGTGGGTGGAGGTGGGGGGTGGCTACATCTTCATTTACTGGAAGAGTGTGGGGTACAAGGGGAGCATTGGTTTCTGGTCATCAGCTGTCAGCGTGGTTGCCTGTGTAGCCCTCAGCAAGCAGAGCCATTTCTCAGGTTGCTGCCCACATCGGAACGCAGCTTGCAAATACTCTGAATGGTTCTGTCATCTGGCCTGTTGATAGTCCCCAGCTCCATTTGTCTCCTTATGTGTTGTTAAGTTTCTTCTACTAGTTAGTGTTTAATCCACTTCTTTATCCTTCCATTCGAAGCTCAGGTTTCCAGGATTATTCTCCGAATCTGCGTCAGTTAGTTTCTCATTTCTTTGTTGTAGATGGTCTGTGTAGATTGTCTGCTTATTCTTTTATCTTCTGCAAGTTTACGACTAAAGTCTTTTTAAAGTCAGGTACAAGAGTTTAGATTTAATGTGATGGGAAAATAAGAACTAAGCTTGACATGACATGCTAACATGACATGTTGAAAGCTCAACTTTTGAGAAGATAATCCACAAAACTTTCAAATCACTTTCAAAATTAGGATGATTGGTCCCTCAAAACCTTTTTGGGGATTTGATGTCTAGTATAAAAGCTTTATGAGTATAATGCTAGGGGAGAATTTAGTGTGAATACAGACAAATGAATTGGATGAATTTACAAATTTGGTTGTTACTACTGTGAAGGTCTAATTTTCCATCCAAAAGGTCCTAGAAGTGGGAGGGGAGTAATCAAGTTACGAATTGCTCATACTATCGTTTTGGTGGTGGTTCTCCTTATATTCCACTTTCTCCTCTTCATGGAGTATTTTATGTAATTAACTTCATACTCATATCTTTTAGTTCCCTATAAAGAAGTGAGGAGACAAGTAGTAAGGAGAGTTGAAAACTTTAATTTACCCATTATCTTTTCAGACTTCTTAGATTTTTCTTTTTGTTTACCCTTGGATTTATCATTGCCTCTTTTGTCATAAGTTTTCATCAACTCAACTATTTGAATTCTTAAAACAAGTCTCTGAAGCACAGGTTTTTGAGTAACTTCCCTAAGCCAAGTGTAGTGTAGGTAGGTGACTTGCTTTCTAAATGATCATCCTTCACTTCACTTTCAGTTTTAAAGCAAAATTAACCTTCATTTTTTGCTCTTTAATGTAGGGGATGGGGAAGTTTACGTTTGGGATGTCAACTCTAGGAGATGCCTTAACAGATTTGTTGATGAAGGCAGTTTATATGGATTAAGCATTGCCACATCTAGGAATGGACAGTATGTGGCTTGTGGGTAAGTAAAGAAAGGTGCTTATAATGCAACCTTAATAACATGCTTGTTATGGGGAAATACTAACTAATCGGCTATACTAGATGTTACATGAGTGGTTCTATTTATAAACTATTCAGTAATAAAGAATTAGTAAACTTAGATAAGCCTTTTGTGTTTATTGTCTTAATGTAATAATTAGTAATAATATAAATAGTGGTTTATCAGCTTTTTAGCAAAGAAAATAACTGGAATACATGATACTGTTGTATTTTTTCCTATATTTGAAATAATCCATTTGGACATACCAGGTTTTTTCTATTATTCTTTGCAGCTTCTTGTCATTGATGAGAACATAGCATAAGTTAAACTTTGGGTTTAAGTCTTAAAAGATACTAAAGGGCATTTTGTGCTTCATCTAGATGTTGTTGTTGTTGTTGTTAGGTGCTGTTGAGCTGGTTTTGACTCACAGCGACCCTAAGTACAACAGATGAAACACTGCCCGGTTCCTGCACCATCCTCATAATCGTTGCTATACTTGAGCCCATTGTTGTAGCCACTGTGTCAGTCCATCTCATAGAGGGCCTTCCCCTTTTTTGCTCACCCTCTGTTTCACCAAGCATCATGTCCTCCTTCAGGGACTGGTCCCTCTTGATAACATGACCAAGTACGAGAGACAAAGTCTGACCGTTCTCCCTTCTAAGGAACATTCTGGCTGTACTTCTTCAAAGACAGATTGGTCATTTTTCTGGCAGTCCATGTTATTATATTCAGTATTCTTCGCCAACCACAATTCACATTCTTCTGTGGTCTTCCTTACCATCTAGATGGGTGGTGTAAACAAAAAACATGTTCCTTGGAAATTGTTTGCTTATATAGTAGAGACTTTAAAATTGATCTAAAACATGTTATTGTGTTTTACTAGCAAAAATGGTTGTTATGTGAAGGGAAAAATGGCTTTATTTACTTACTTGATTTGAAAGATACAATGTGTTCTGGGTCACAGCCAGCTACCCAGAGGGACCGAGTAGTTGAACTGGTGGGCTTGGGACCATTGTTGCAGGGGACATCAAGCTCAATTGGCATAACATACTACACAAAACATTTTCCACCTCCTACTTTGGTGAGTGGAGGAGCTCTGGTAGCGTAGTGCCTAAGACACTTGACTGCTAACCAGAAGGCTGGTGGTTCAAGCCCACCAGCCACTCGTCAGAAGGAAGGTTGGGCAATCTACTTCCATAGTGATACTGCCTTGGAAACCCAAGGGATGGGTCACTATGAGTCGGGTCCGACTCGACGGCACATAACAACAACAACTTTGGCGAGTAGCGACTGGGATCTTAAAAGCTTGCAAGCAGCCATCTAGATGCAACAATGGGTCTCTCCTCATCCAGAGCAAAGAATGAAGAAAACCAAAAATTCAAGGAAAGACTTTGTCCTAGTGACTGGTACACCATGCGATCCTTAGCCTATACGACTATGAGACCAGAACTAGATGGTGCCCAGCTACCATTGTCAACCACTTGGAGGGGGATCTATGTAGGAGATCCTGGATAGGGAGGGAGAACAATGTGGAACAAAACTCAGAATCATTTGGAAAACAAAGGGGGGAGGGCCAGGTTTGCTGGTCTGATAGAGCCTGGTGGAACCACTGAGACTATGGCCTCTAGCTGCCCTTCAGGTCTGGAATTGAACCCACACGTGTGGCTTCCAGCCAAACAAAAGACAGGCATATGAGTTGAGCATTTACCTGAGGTAGATACTCTTTGGAGAGAACAATCGTGGGAGAAAGAAGGGCTGTTTATGTACAGGGAGGCATGGAGGGATGGACACAGGGAAGAGGTGACTGTGGGGATGAAGTGGGAGGGGAGCTGTTGCATTGTGGTAAATTGTGGTCAGTGTCATGAGACAAAGTGTATGTGAACTGCTGTATGGAAAGTGAATTTGCTCTGTAAACTTTCACCCAAATCACAATTTAAAAAAAAATTAAACTGGCAATACTTAAGAAAGAAAGAAAGATACAATGTGGGAGGAGGAGGCATCGGACATTTACCAGTGGTTGTAAACTATCACACTGAACCACTAATCAGCACAAATACTATTAGAAGAGTAAGTTTTCATATATCAAAATGCTTAACTTGTGTCATTTTTGGTCCACTAAGTTAAATAGTAGTCAAATGTATATTAATTGGTATTGTTTAAGGAGGCTTTGATGTTTGGGATGATAAGATTTGGTCTGTAATTGATGTTCAGGAGCTAGCCACGTGGATTTAAATCAATTTTTAGCAAGAAAGGAAATTTGATGTAAATTACAGAATATAGATATTTTGGGTCCAAGTCAAAAATGTAAATAAGTTAAACATGAAATATTATAAACTAAGGATAGAAATAAGGTTTTCACTGGCTTTTTCGAAGCGGATGGCCCTGTCCCTCTTTCTAGTCTGTCTTAGTCTAAAAGCTCCAAAGAAACCTGTCCTTATTGGTGATCCTGCTAGGATTTGAAGTACTGATGTCATAGCCTCCAGCTTCACAGCAGTATGCAAGTCACCACAGTATGACAAACTGACAGATGAGGTTGCAGTGGCTACAATGATGGGCTCTGGTATAGCAAGGAATGTGAGGATGGTTCATTACTGGGAAGTATTTTGTTCTGTTGTACATAGGGTCACTGTCAGAGTCGGAGTCGGGGACTCGACAGCACCTAACAACAACAAGAACAAGGATACATATTTCTCCGGAGTGGTTAGGATAAAGTATATAATATGGTTACTCATCCACTAAACCCACTGCCAGGGAATCCATTCCAACTCAGAGCAACCTGTGTAAGGTTTCCAAGGCTGTATATCTTTATGGAAGCAGACTGCCTCATCTTCCCCTGTGGAATGGCTGTTGGATTCAAACCACCAACTTTTTGGTTAGCAGCTGAGTGCTTTAACCACTGCACCACCTGGGCTCCTTCCATACAGTTAGTTTGAAATTAAATGATAAAATGTATATGTAAGTAGTTTGAAAAATTTAAAGGGCTAAATAATTGTAGGGAGATCTGGTAGCATAGTGGCTAAGACACTTGCCTGCTAACCAGACGGCTGGCGGTTCAAACCCACCAGCCACTCCTCGGAAGGAAGGTTGGGCAATCCTACTTCCGTAGTGATACTGCCTCGGAAACCCAAGGAGGGGTCACTATGAGTCGAGTTTGACTTGACGGCACATAACAACAACAACAACAAATAATTGTAACATACTGTAGAGTATTGGCTGTGATTTCAAGCTACGTAGGGTCTTTCATATGAACTCAGTTGATTTTGTTTCTGCATATTGCCTGGTTCATTGTGGGCAATCAGTATGGAAGTATTGTTAAGTGAATAAGTGAGATGTTTTGAGTGGTGAAAATGAGACTAGACTTACTTGAATACGTATTTGTCACCTCTGTGAGATTATGGTTTGATTTGCTGCATCTTCAGGCTTATGTTGTAATTACTAATTAAGTTTGTATTAAATATTTGTGAATTTCAGGTGCATTGTTCCTGTACTATAAGGTAGTATTTATAAAAACAATGTCCGTAACACTAGGTAGTCTGAAGTTTGAGATTTAAACTTTTTGGTTCAAGTTCTTGCGTGGATGTTTCTGTTAATCTTGTAGTATTAACTAAATCCTAAGGTTATTAGGGTTTAGTTTTTAAGAGTATTTGATATGATTCATTGCTGGTAAACACTTCAGTAAACTTGAAGTGGTTGATCAAATCTGTAATCTTTGTAGATATTCCCATGAAAGCAAAACTAAGATACCTGCCATTACTGCTGTTGTTCAACTATTTTGGAAGTTCTTGCAAACATAATATAACAAAAAAAGGAGGAGATAGAAGTAGGGTGTTTTGGTTATTTCTCCATTAAACGCATTGCCATCAAGTCAGATCCAACTCATAACGACCCCTCCTTGGGTTTCCGAGGCAGTATCACTATGGAAGTAGATTGCCCCATCTTCCTTCCGAGGAGTGGCTGGTGTTTTGAACCTCCAGCCTTCTGGTTAGCAGTCAAATGCCTTAGGCAGTACACTACCACTGCCACTCTAACAGAAATATACCACAAGTGGATGGCTTGAACAAACAGGAGTTTATTCTTAAACAGTTTTGGAGGCTAGAAGTTCGAGTTCAAAGTGCCAGGCTCTAGGGTCTGGGTGAAAGCCTCTCAACCTTGGGCTTCAGCTCTGCCTCTTGCCCCCAGACCACTGAAGCTAGAGGCTTTCTTCACTCAGGCAGCTGCTGGCTACTGAGGATGACAAACCCAAAGTTAACAAGTAAAAAGACACAGTCCCAATATTACCAAACCACATGGCAGTGCTCTGATTTAAGGCCATCAGCAGTCCCAAGATGGGCAGACATCATGGCAGGCTGCTGAACGATGACTCAGGTGCCAGAAGCTGCAGACCATTCCCACAGCTTCTCCTTACATACTGGAAGCAGACCACATCCCTAAGGCGGCTACTCAGCTGCACATGGCAAGATTCCATGGAGTTGATTGCTAGTCTCATGGGGAATAACTACCACTAGCTACCCAGCCACGTACGAAGACCAGCCAAGTTGACACAACCTTAACTACCACATAGGGGAGGACGGTTATTTACACATTAGAATGAAAGGTACGATGGTAAGCATCATGAGAGGGGAGGTCTTGGCTTCTTCTGTTCACCTTTGCATCCCAGGCACCTAAATAGGGCCTAGCATAGAGTTGACGTTCAGTAAATATTTATTGAAAGAAAAAATAATGGAGATTGTTTGCGTTTCTTGGATTTCCTAGCAAGACTTGCAGTTGAACAGCTGCTGGAGTTAACAGGAGTTCAGCAACATTGAGGTGGAATTGTTAGAATGCCTCTGGCTTTTGTCTTGGCTTGAACTCTCCAGTTGCAAGTCTCACAACACAGCGTGATTCCTATAGTTAGCAGCTTGCAGGGTAACATCTGTATTCACTTAGGTTATAACAGCTCTTTAGTTTGTTTTTATTCTGTTGTGTTCAGTAATTTACTTTTCCCTTTTCTCTTTGTAGTTCTAATTGTGGAGTGGTAAACGTATACAATCAAGATTCTTGTCTCCAAGAAACAAACCCAAAGCCGATAAAAGCGATAATGAACTTGGTTACAGGCATTACTTCTCTGACCTTCAATCCTACTACAGAAATCTTGGCAATTGCTTCAGAAAAAATGAAAGAAGCAGTTAGATTGGTAAATATTTCTTCACCCTTTTTATCACTGATAAGTTTTTAATTTAAGTGAAAAACACAGGGTAACAGTGTTGGCTTATTTTAAAAGAATAGCTTCTTTTGAAGTAGAAATTACTAGTATTACAGCTTTTGGGCATGGTTGTGGAAGTGACATACATAGTCTCTAAATTTGCATTCAGTCAGTTCTTTGGGAGAGCTGTGCTGTCCATTCTCAGTTATCATCCTTGGTGATGGTCTTCATTTTCAGGGCTTTCTTTCAGCATGCGATTGGGGATATTAATGAAAATATTTAAGGCAAACACTTTGTTGCTCTGCTTTTCTTATTTACATTTTTAAGGCCTGTTAATGAAGTAGAAGCAGTTCTTAGATTTTGAAAGTAAAGGGAGCTTTAAAATAGATTGTGTAAAAATAATGCAATTTGAATACATAGATAGCATTTGTAAATATACTCCTCTGTCAGGGTCCCTAAGAACTTCCTCTGTGCCTAGGCTTGATGGTTCTCTAGAGGGGCTCACAGGACTTAGGATATAGTGTGACTTACAGCTTTGATTTACAACAGTGAAAGGAGGATTCAAAGCAAAATCAGCAAAGGGAAAAATTGTAAGAATGAAGTCTGGAGGAAACCTCATACATGCTTCCTTGAGCCTCTGCCAGTGGCAATGCGTAAACATGCTTAATTCTTCTAGGAAAGAGTTGTGACAACGTGTGTGAAGTTTGTCTACCAGGGAAGCTCATTAGAGACGTCTTGCCCAAGACTTTTTATTTTGGCCTGGCTATGTAGGTACCCTCTGCCTAGTACATGCCAAAGTTCCGTACTCCCAGAAGGAATACATTGTTCTGAGTAAACCACGTTGTTTATACAAACCGGTTAGGCAAAGTGAGGCACCTTATCATTTAGGGGAAGTTTCATACCATTGTGAGGAACTATTTACCAGCCAAGTTCCCAGATGCAATTTGAAGGCCAACCTTATAAGCAGGGCTTTCTAGGATAGCAGTCTCAAGCTTGCTATTTTACCTCCTCTCTATACCATGTCAGAGTTCAGATTACGTGTCACCCCATCTCTGTGACATTTCCCACCTCTTCAGCCAGAATTAGTCTCTTCATTCATTGGTTAAACACATTGATTTGCTCAGGGCACTAGGTGTACAGATGGCATAAAACTTTGCAAACCAGTATTGCATTGTTCTGTTGTTATGTGTATACTACAGATTGTAAGTGATTGACAAAAACTTGTGTTATTTTTACCTTGCTCACTTAACAAAGAGCCTTGCATACAGGCATATGTCGAAGATACTGGGGTTCTGGTCTAGACCACTGTAGTAAAGTGAATATCACAATAAAGCAAGTCACACCAATATTTTGGTTCCCAGTGCATATAAAAGTTATGTTTACATTATACTGTAGTCTATTAAGTGTGCAGTAGCATTATGAAAAAGTTTGAAATATTGTGAGAATTACCAAAATGTGATGAAGACATGAAGTGAGCATATACTGTTGGAAAAACAGCTTCGATAGACTTACTTGACTCAGGGTTGCTGCAAGCCTTTAATTTTATTTTAAAAAATGCGCTGTCTGCCGAGTTCAGTGAAACGAGGTATATACCTCATCAGCTTTGTATAATAGTGTCTAAGTACAAGGAGTTATAAAGACTTCTACAAAAATAATTCTGAGCAATATGGGAATCCTCAGAGGATTAACTTTCCCAAAGGCAATAGGTTGTAAATGGCAGAATTGTGATTCTAGATTTCATACTCTTTCTGCTACTGTAGGGGTTTTGTAACTGAATTCCTTAGAGCCCTACAGTCTGCACAGGAGCTTCATATGGCAGGAAGGGCAAAGAGGCGAAGCTTCTACCTGTACCATAGGGAAGCTTCACTGTTACCCATGATACAAATTGGGATTCTGCTTAAAATTTTCTATGTGGGGAGAAAGGGTTCTGCTGGAAAGAAGTATTTGAAAAACATGGCGCTGAGTTTTATTGCTTCTCTGTTGAATGAATCATTTAATAAATGAGAAGGTTCTAATTCATGTCAGCTTTAAAATCCCCATTGCTCTAATGAGGATGGTGTACTAGTACATATTAACCTTTTATCATTTTAATGGTAGTAAATTGTTATAGAAAACCATGGGAATCTATCTCCTGTTGACATTACATATTCCATAAGATGTATAGCAGTTAGTTCTGCCTAGTTTGCTTCAGTGATCATGACAGCATTTATGTTTTTTTACTGTGGCAAAATCACATAAGGAATTTTTTAGTAACAGCCAAATCACATTTTTAAAATGGTAATCAACCATAGTATCTAATGGAAAGAAGCCAGGCACAGCAGTTTTAGAATGCCTCAGTGAGAGAATGTTGGTATTATTAAATACAGTCGCTTATAATGATCCAAACAGTCTTGTTATCCCTGCACAAAGCAGTGGGTATAAATCGAAGCCATCACACCAATAGAGGACCCAGAAGCTAAATTATTACTAGATCTGCAATCTGGGATGTACTAGAAAGTTGTGGAATTTCTTAACCATTAAATCAAGGATGAGTGAGCTTTTTATTTGCTGACTTTTGGTATCTGAGCTCTAAAATATCACAACAGAAGTACTGTTGGAGATCAAGGGAACTTTTTGAGATAAAGAAGTTGAATCTTTATGGGACCTCCTATTAATTAAAGTTCAGTTATACCTTGTCATACAGGAACATAAAGAGATGTCAGAAAAACAGCAACGTTCTAGTCAGATGGGATCATTGACCTGAGAGATTACACTGGAGAACTTTGCAAGAAGATACTATTGAATCTGTTCAGAGGACATTGTAAACCTCCCACCCCCACCCCAATTGACAGACAAACTCAATACCTAAGCCAATGGCGGGGATAACATTTAAAAATACGTTGTTTATCGTCCATCAGAAAGAATAGACTGGTATGTTGTGTGACACATGGCCATGTGTATGGTTGTTGTTAGGTGCTGTCAAGTCAGCTCTGACTCATAGTGACCCTCTGTACAACAGAACAAAACACTGCCTGGTGCGTCATCCTCACAGTCCTTGCTATACTTCAGCCCTTCATTGCAGTCACTGTATCAGTCCCTCTTGTTGAGGGTCTTCCCCTTTTTCACTGACCCACCACTTTACCAACCATGACATCCTTCTCCAGGTAATGGTCTCTTCTGACTACATGACCAAAGTAGGGATAAAGAGATAAAGTCTGGCCATTCTTGCTTCCGAGGAGCATTCCAACTGCACTTCTTCCAGGACAGATTTGTTCATTCTTCTGGCAGTCCATGGTACTTTCAGTGGCATAGATTATTTGTTGTATGAAGGCACCATGTCAGAGGGAACGCCATTCACATCATAGACTTTGTAAATGTATGAAGTTACCACAGTATTTCTGGTGTTCTCTTTATTCAGCTACAAAAATACACAGCTTCCTTTTGGTGAAAATGGGCTTCAAGTAATTGGTATGTGTCTTATGCCCCAATTTTTGCTCTGTAGTTAGCTCCCTATTTGTAATAAGTAACTGAGCTAATTATAAAGTTACATGAATCCAAATTAGGAGACTAGTTTTTCCAGTTTATGTTGGAAATAAGAGGTGGTTTAATAAAATTATCTTTAAGAAATCAATCAAGTAGAAAGATTGATCCCAGTATATTTTAATTTGGAAGAGTCAGGAAAGCAGCTCCCCCAACTGAGAATGATGCTGGGGAAGTTAATCTGAGGTATAGCTTTAGAGTGTCAGATGGTATATACGGTGGAAACAAAAGTATGGGACTGTTCTTGGCACTCAAAAGCAAATGGTTATTTTCTGATGTTCTTTTCCCATGGTGCTTTGACTCGCTTGGTGCATGCTTACTTGTATAAACTTAAAATAACCTGAAAAAAAAAAAAAAAAACCAAACTACCTGCCGTCGAGTCGATTCTGACTCATAGTGACCCCTCCTTGGGTTTTCGAGGCGGTATCCCTGTGGAAGTAGGTGGCCCAGTCTTCCTTCCGAGGAGTGGCTTGTGGGTTTGAACTGCTGGCCTTCTGGTTAGCAGTCAAATGCCTTAGGCAGTACACCACTAGAGCTCCCTACATAATAACCTAAGCAAAACATAATTAAGAGGCCACATCACTTACCAAAAATACATATAAGGTGCATTCCCAAAAGTAAGTGTAAATACATTTTTGTGATATCCATATTTTGGCTTCTCTCCATAAAATACAAAGTCTGCCTATGAATTTTTTTTTTTTTTTCTTAAAAATAACACTTAATTTCTTATGGAACCTGTGCAGAGAATGGTATTTAAGAATTTTAAAAGTTAAAATGAAATTGAGGTACTGCCAACTTCTTAGCTTAAATGGGTCAAGACCACTTCTCATTAGCACTAATGCCTTAGCATTGATGCCATGCTGTGCAGGCAGAATCTCCCTCCTTGCAAAGTTGAGAATAATTGAACATGGCTTGGAGATTCACTGTAAACTTTACTTTCTTGACAAAACAGTCAATAAGTCTGTATCAGAGGGAGCTGAGCCTAATAAGTGACTGACGGAAACCTATTTAATAGATGTTTATAACATTGAATTTTACCTAATGCTTGGCCATGAAAACCACTTTGATTGAATGGAATAAGGTCTAATCTAAAAGTGGTGGTGGTGG